CTTTTTTTGCACTTAGCTCAGCGACACATTTGCTTTTAGTGAGTACGAAGAAACAATGGATGCTATACAGAGAGATTTGGAAGCATGTGAGAAGGAAAATGCAGAACTGAAGGAACGTGCCAAAAATATGAGCAAAAAAGCGTTGCTAATGGTGTGGTATTCTTTACCTGCATTTGAAAACACACCGTGTAAATATTTGATGCGTATGATATTTTGACCATCCTATCCTATCATCATTACTATTTTAAATAATGATTTGCTCTTTAGTAGCATTAGTGGCTGTAAAATTTCGGTAATTATCAGTCTTTTTCCTTTTTAAAATAGCAACAGGTAGTTTGAGTAAATTGATAAAGTATTCAGTTTTGTTAATGAAGCATTTTTTAAAAAGAATTTGAGCAACAATCTAACGTCGTCCGTTACTTCGTTGCCATCAACACCTACTGCTACTGGTGGCACCACATTTACATACGGAGCTGAAATCACTTTTCTGGAAACAGCACTGATTGAAAAGCAGGATGCTCTCAAATTCGCAAATGAAAAAATACGTTATCTGAAGGTTGCGTTTTTGCTTGTAGTTTAGTTTTGCTTCCAAAGTATTTCTATTTTGATTTGGTTGGGATTTGCTGAACTTTTCTGAAGTGGTAATGAACTCTTTTGTTTTTTGGGTTATGCTGAATGGAAACTTGATGCAAGGTATATTCAGGTGCAAAATGTTGCTTTTAGGTTCAAGGCATGCTACAGTTATTGTCGGATACCGGAGTGTCTGATATTTCGACTGAAATTACTGGACCACTAACACTAGATGCTGCTCAGGGACAATACAAAGAGGAACTTGACAAATTGATTAGAGAAGCGGAAGGCATTATAAGCGAAGCTCGAAATTACCAAGTGCCGTATATAGCAAATTTGCGTAAGCAGAGAAAAGCTCAACTTCTTGAGGAACATCAATATTATTCGAATGTTCGGGATGTTAATTATAGGATTGATGATGTGAGTGTTTTTTAATTTCATTATTGACAAAACGTTATTTTTTTACCTTCATATCTGTTTGAGATTTCATCGCCCTATATTTATCTGATTTACAGTTGAAATTAAAAATTCATCGTTTCTGGTCGAAATATAACCCTGGGAAACCGCTTCCGAGCTTGTTTAATAATATCAAGAGCATCGTTATTGAAAGACCAAAGGTGAGTTCTTAATCTGCTTAGTATTGTGAACTTATTGCTAGCGTTTGTTCTTATAGTCGATGATGACAAATACCTTCCGGTTTCGCACAACTAATATCTTTTACTGACTTTTTTTTTATTATACTTATGAAATTCTACTTCATAATTTTCTACTGAAGTAACAGTAATTAGTGATAATGATTTCTTGGGCTGTATCCTGTTTTTATTTAAATAAATACAATGGACGTATTTCAGTACGTGCAATGTGGTGATCGGGGTGTGCATTCGAATGCATACAAGAATGCCTATAGTCTTTTATTTGATAAGTTAGACGTAGAGCGCAAAAAGTTCGAATTACAACGTGTTTGCTGCTGATAATTATGTCGTAATCTTATCGCTTTTAACTAGTACAATTCATCAAAAACCACCGAAAGCTGTCTTTTTCAAATTGTCCATAATTGGTTCTTGTACATACTGCTATCTGAGGAAAGAGCAATTAACAAATACTAGAAGTTGCCTTATATTTTTTCCTTAATCTATTTTATCGTTACATTGAAATATTGTGACCATAACTATTTATCCTTCTCATTTATTTATTATTCCGATAATTTCATTTGTATCATCCACTACTTATTCCTGTGTGATTATTTCTGAATTTAAAGAACACTTCAATGGTACCTTCATGAAATTGTACTTTAGAATACGTGATATGTATTTCTGCTCTTTTGTACCTATATACCCTTATGCTTTTATACGATTGTGTATACAATTTTATAACTTTTAACTAGATGCCAATATTGAATATAATAAATTTTTTTTCTTTGCATCCTTCGCCTTTTTGTTTCAGTGACATAATCCAAGGATAGAAGTGTACGATATGTACTACTGTAATCATATTGAGAGGGGATATACAAGAAAATGAGCAGAAATGCCATTTTTTGAGAAATATGCATAGAGAAAGTATATATACATGTAGCAAAGCTAGATTGAGGAATTGTGAGATTCTGAAATTCATCAGGTAAAGGGAAGTTCGTTTTTGGGACTGATGAATGTGATAATTTACTCGAAATCAAAGGTCTGAATTCGATCTGATATATCATTTTGTTCTGAGTCAACGATTATAGTTGAAAATTTATCTTGTTTATCTGAGAGCGCGCTATTGTACAAACTACTGGGTACAGCACATATAATACAATACTGAGAAATTACTCTTCACTACCTTCTTTCTTTTTCAAATTCTAATAGCAATATTCTCATTTTGAAAATTACAAAAATAGATAAAAGAAGAAATAGAGTGAAGCTACAATACCATAAGCAAGTGGCAGTATGATACGCGCTGATAGATCAACCCGTGCAGCTGTTACTGAGTAATAATCGGACCAACGATGGAAATAATCATTTATCAGAGTATCATAGTTTGACGTTGACGTTGAACCAGGTAAATCCTATAAGATTATTAATTTTTTCTAATTTTTTTTTTTTTTTTTTTAATATTTATGATAAACATGCTGGACTGATTTCAGATATGTTCATTAATTAATAGAATGTATAATTGCTATGATATTATCTGCTTTAGTATATGATATTCTATTTTATTAGTACAAATTGTAACCTTGCTACTTCAAAATATCATCTGATTGGATATTATTGGTTTTGATGCAAAAAATAATCGATAAAGAATAATCAGCTAATGATTTTATCTTATCAGTGCCATTTAGGCAATTGCAATTTGAAATTTTTAAAATATAAAAGAGCGAACTTGATCGAAATGTTTCATTTCAAGCATTCGTCCATTAGCAACAGGTGGTCTTGGGCTAATTGAACGACCTCGTTTTGCAGCCTGCTTTTCGCGCCGATACCGGCTTTCCGCTCGAACAGATTCATTTTTATTGGCAAGCAGAAGTTGCTTGTGTGACATTTTCGTTAATATATGCACTGCTATAACCTGTAAGTGTTCATAAAGATTTTAGAAATTGATGAAATTAAATGTTTTTTTTTCTTAAATCATTGAAATAGGTTAACTCCTTTTCATGAATATGAATTGAAGTAATAAGCGAAATAACGATTACCGTGATCACTCTTACTGATATTTTGATTAACGTCTGCTTTTAATAACTTATATTTTTCATCAAAATATCAGTAAATGTGATCACGACAATTATTATTATTCAATATCGAAAATCGCGCATTTAGCAAATTTTACTGATAAAATTGTGATCTGCATATAATTTTAACATATTGTTACGATAAGAATATGGTTAAATAATTAGGATTAAATGATTAGTTTATACTATCAAATAATACAAATATCATATTTTAAATGTAGTTACGAAGAAAAAGGCCTGATTTTTATTCAAAATTTAAAAAATTACTTCGAGCAATGAAAGAAGAATGAATATATTGCATAAAAAGACCCAAACATCAGCGGCTGTTAAGTAAGCTGTTGATGGTACTTCATTATTCCAAAGCATTGCCTGAAAGTATTTCGTTTTTTTTTTTTTTTTTTTTTTACTCGATAAGGAATTTTTAGCAATTAATTTACCCGAGAATTACCGTGAATTTTATCATCTGATAGATAAAATGTAGTTATTTCATAGAGCTAACCTGAATGTCGGATTCAACTATGCTAATACATAGTCATATCCAGTATACATCGATATCGTCATTTAGTAAAAAGCTTAATTCCGATTGGTTCAAGCCTAGGGTAGAGTATATTTGCAACTAATTGTGTTAATACCGGATACTGTTCATCAATAGAGTATCTTATCAAATAATCGGAACGGATAGTAAATAATGTATTAATATGAAATTAATTAATCTTTGCAGGTTATAAATAATATCACAATTATTAGGAAGTGATTTGATAGTTTTACTACATTATTAACATCAAGAAATGATTGTGAAAGCGTTATCATCCCAGTCTTAAATGCTTTCTTATCATTCTATTCTAATGATTCTTAGCATCTCAAATTGATAAATCAATCACCGTTATTTAGGATTATATTAAATAAAAAAATTAAATAAAATTAATACACAGAAGAATGTAAGCAAAGATGAGAAGGCCACAACAGTTATCCGTGATTGCAAATGTTGTCGTTCAATGTAAAAGATAATCCAGGTAAGTGCAACAAGTATAATTGTTGGCAAGAAATAACGAAAAAATGACGTATGGAATGGCCGATGAAAATGTAATTGAACTCGAAGACATGAGAATCGTGCTGAAAGAGAAGGAAAAGAAAAAGAAAAGAAGAGAAAGGAATGAAAAGGTAAAAATATTTCTTGAATATTACTAAAAAATTAGGAAATAGATTCTTTTTAATTTAAAATGATCAAAGAGTAAATGTAATAATAATACAATATTGTTTGTTGAAATGTTTCTCGTTTTTTCCTTTTTTTTTTTCAATTAAAATAATTAATTTATACAACCATCCTACCAACTATTTTTGTCTTTTCCTAAATTCCATTAATTCTGAAAATGCGGGAATGTAAACCTGTGGCTGTATTTAATTCAGTGACAGCGTAAAGTGCTTCAAAATTGCAATTTTCACTGGAAACTAACGATGTATGCATGCTTATTGGTCCGATACTTGCATTCAGTCGTGCTCCATCGGAGTGATACCACGAAAGTGATAATTGCCTGCTGGGATGCTTACCTGCAAGATAGGTTCATTTTTTTTAAAAAAGGAAAAACGATAAAAGTAAATCATTCAGATAGTTGTTGCATGCAAGTTTTACTATACATACCTATATATATATATATATATATATATATATATATATATATATATATATATATA